CTAGTTGTAAGAGATATATTCTAGTTGTTAAGGGATATAATCTAGTTGTTAATAGATATATTCTACTTGTTAAGGGATATAATCTAGTTGTTAAGGGATATAATCTAATTGTTAAGGGATATATTCTAGTTGTTAAGGGATATAATCTAGTTGTTAAGGGATATAATCTAGTTGTTAAGGGATATAATCTAGTTTTTAATCTAGTTGTTAAGAGATATATTCTAGTTGTTAAGGGATATAATCTAGTTGTTAAGGAATATAATCTAGTTGTTAAGGGATATATTCTAGTTGTTAAGGGATATATTCTACTTGTTAAGAGATATATTCTAGTTGTTAATGTATATATTCTAGTTGTTTAGAGATATATTCTAGTTGTTAAGGGATATAATCTAGTTGTTAAGGGATATAATCTAGTTGTTAAGGGATATAATCTAGTTTTTAATCTAGTTGTTAAGAGATATATTCTAGTTGTTAAGGGATATAATCTAGTTGTTAAGGAATATAATCTAGTTGTTAAGGGATATATTCTAGTTGTTAAGGGATATATTCTAGTTGTTAAGGGATATATTCTACTTGTTAAGAGATATATTCTAGTTGTTAATGGATATATTCTAGTTGTTAAGTGATATATTCTAGTTGTTAAGAGATTTCGAAATATAACTCATTTGATGTATTCCACTCCCTGTCAAAAGTTATAGTCGGCAATCTGGCGGTATGTCAACATGTTTATTGTCTTTGCTGTTCTTCTCACCTAACATTCAGTCATGACAAAGCATTAATAAAAACAGCATATCAACACAATGAGACCTTATTACGTCACTAAACTGTACTCATGGTAAAACCATGTATGAACGGGCAAAAATACACCTACATACGTATATATTTTTTCACGTCCAAAATCAATCACAAATTGTTTCAGTACAGTATATATAACAATTGAAAGTAAAACAGAAAGAGCAAAATAGAATATTGGCGGGAAAGCGCCGAAATCGAGATATATGTTATTCAAAATTTATTCTACACGGAACTTACAGTATTATGACACAGAAAAACAGTTGTATAGTACAAACGACAATTTCTACAAGACAGATGAACGTTTTTATTACACACACGACAATTACTGCAACACACACGAGCAGTTGTATAACACCTACACACAGCTACACAACACTGGTGAACAATTACACTGACGAACAGATTTGTGTTGTCTGACCAATTTTACCTTGTCAGTCCCGCCGGGCCACGTCGTTTCGATTTAGTAGATATATGAATGAAGCACATTCAAGCTGTGGCCATGATTGTAAATACAGAGTAACAATTCATGGGGATTGATATACAGCGAAGTTACCAGCTGCTGTAACATAAACTCCCCTTCATCAACATGGGCACGATTAATGCTGTCGTCTTTTCAGTGCAGTCAATCAGTCGTAAATTAGGAATCTACCCACTACGGATAGCACTGGTGGCAACTGTGTTACATTCGTCACCACTAGCTGTATCGTTAAATCAGCCATGTTTTTTTTTAATTTCAAAAGCAATGAATAAGTGTCTTAATTCTGCGAGATTGTAATATATGAGACAGTGAATTTTAGCATATATTGTGTTCGAGGCCATTAATGATATTCAGCGATAACGGGGACCTAACGTGCAATGTTCTAGACGTGCAGGTCACAACAAAGATAACTCCCACGTAAACGATTAGATATGAACCTGTGACAGTAGTTTTCATTTGTATTGATGAGATATGTCTATGACATCACATTAGTTCCAATAAGTTAATTGCTTATCTCATAGGTTCCCATAAGCTAAGTGGGTATATCATGGATATGTCTAAGCTAAATGGTATCTCATGGTTGCCCACAAAATAAGTCGATATCTTATGTGTATGCCTGAGCTAATGGGTATATCATGGGTTCCCATATACATGAGCTAAGTGGGTATTTCATGAATATGCCTTACAAGCCCGCAGCCAACACTTTTGAAAAAACAGTAATATATTTAATGTGAAATGTGTGAATTTTTTTTTAATTTTCAAAAAGAAAACAAAGTTACATACATTTTTATATTCTCTATTCTCTAAGCCAATTGGCTTATTTTGTGTTACGTTGTTAAGGTATTTCACATAACATCTTTGAACTATTTTACCATTTTAAAAAAAGGGGTTCCAGAGTCATCTCTCGCCCACAGACAAAAACGCACACACACACACTAGATCCACTACTGCAAATTGTTGTACACAATCATTTAAGGTAGAATGCTACTCACGAGTTGTTTCGCTCAACGCAGATGTTAGCGCACATAGCAGTGAAACGATTTCGTATCGAAATCTGTCTACAATTATTCATTTTAGTATTAGTCAATGTAATTTATTATTTAATTATTATTTATTTCAGTACAGGGCCTCAGCCGACCGTATAACAATTAATGGATAGAAAAGTGCATAACACCACAATCACTCTATCCATAGAGGTATTTTCATAACACGTTTTAAAAACAATGCAACATCCATGTAAACATATGGTACTAGGTTAAGCTAGATTCATATTCATCTCATCAGTGGTAGTGGTAGTTACGCAGCGATCTCCATAGACTACAATGATTACATCTCCTTTTCATGGAGCCACTAAAATGTAGTCAATTGTCAATCAAAAAGAAACGTGTCAGGACTATATGTATATCTTTTTCACCATATGTTATTGAGAGATATTGGGATATATTCCTGCCATATAAAATAATTATAGTGATTTGACAAAACATGTTTTTATTTAATTTTCTTCATTCTTGTAATAATATTTTTTAACATTATATATTTATTATTCATGTAAAAATAAAGAAACTGACAATAGTTTGGCATATCACACAATACATTATATAAGTTATCCTCTTTAGACGTATTCACATCACGATCAATATAGAGAGAGAGATGTCAATCTCTCATGTCCCATATATGTTTTCAACCTGTATATGTATTCAATATGTATTTTGCAGTAAAACAAATATCTTTTAAAAGTATAATTCATCGCATAGTTTCGGTGCTGAAGGAACACTCTGGGGTAAATTTTGACTGCAAGAGCCTATTCGACTTATACAACTCATGATGATAAATCTTCGTAATTTTTTTAATGATATGTTCAACCCGTAGCTGTACACTATTGTCCAATAACACAGGCTACACGTACTAATACAATAAGTTGACTACATTTGGCAAGAAACAGTGTATACGTCATCATTAACTTGAAGCATACAAAACTAATGAACCAAACTTGGAAAGTACAGTGTCGTGTTGTGCAGGATCAATCCCGTTCGATTCCCACACTTGACTGAGTGAACACTAGCACTAAACAAACGGCTCTTTTTCAGGGCCACCACATCCTTCAGGGAGTGAATATCATTACATTATTGTTTAAATGTTGTATAAATATGCTTATCTGTTTTAAAATTTGACATCAGCTGCTTGAACGCGATCTTCATTACACCATCGCGGAATCACCGAATAAAAGCTTGCCAATTTATAACAACCTTTGTTGATTAGCTGTTGTTGAACTGAGACGGCGTAACTTCACAATTGACATTTAAAGCTCGTTTTCACCAAAATGCTTATTACTATGCAAGTTCGACTGAGTCTGATAGTTACCTCACTGAGTCAAGTGAGTTAAATGACGATAATCATTTTAATTAATAACGTTTGTTTTAATATGTACTAATCTACGATCCTAATTGTATTCACTTCCGAAATTTAGGGGTTCGACTGAACCCCCAAAACTACGTGCCTGCCTTAGCTAATCGTATTTGATTGTGATGAGTTCCCATAACCTAAGTTGGTATGCCAAGGGTATGCCTAAGCTAATTGGTATATCAAGGATTGCCATAAGCTAGGCTGATGTCTCATATGTATGCTTAAGCTAAGAATATATCATGCAGCCCTGTGGGGGAAATGGATATGCCATGGTTACCTACAGACTATGTTGAATCACATGGGCATGCCTAGGTTAAGTGGGTAATACCTGTTTCTATACGTTAAGCGGGTTTCCTATGTGTATCCATAAGTTAAGTGCACATCCTATGGGTAACTCGTGGCATTCCCAATTAAATGGCTATCACATAACTACCCCAAATTTGATTAGGTATCCCATGGTATCCAAAAGGTAAGTGGGTATACCATGTTTTTTTTCTGAGATAAGTGGATATATCACGGGTATCCCCAAGTTAGATGGGTATATCATGAGTATGTCTAACGCGAGTGAGTAACTTATGAGTATCCTTGAGTTTAGTTGTATATCATGGATATGCCTAAGCGAGGGAGCTTAATCACGAAGAGCATATATATTCTTAATTTAAGAGAATATCTCACGGGTATTTTCAAGTAGGTGGGTATCTCATGGGTATTTTCAAGTAGGTGGGTATCTCATGGGTATTTTCAAGTAGATGGGTATCTCATGGGTATTTTCAAATTAGGTGGATATCTTATGGGTATTTTCAATTAGGTGGGTATCTCATGGGTATTTTCAAATTAGGTGGGTATCTTATGGGTATTTTCAAGTAGGTGGGTATCTCATGGGTATTTTCAAATTAGGTGGGTATCCTATGGGTATTTTCAAGTAGGTGGGTATCTCATGGGTATTTTCAAATTAGGTGGGTATCTCATGAGTATTTTCAAGTTAGATGGATATCTCATGGGTATGCCGAAGTAGATATCCAGGCTCATACCACCCTGTCAGTCAAGCAATTCTAGCTGAGCCACAGTGTTAAATTTACAGTCATGCAGCCAGGTAGTGTAACAATCAGAGTAAGTGAGACCACGAGTAACAATACAATTCCCTTATTTCTTTATTAACATTGCTGTTTATATCTTTTCTCAGACGGTACGCGTTGTACTCACTGCTGCGAAGGTAATCTCTGTAACACGGAAAGCGGCACCGTCTCAGCAAGTTTTCGAACAGAAATTGTCCAATGGCTGTTTCTTCTTTGTATTGTGTGCATTATGACGTCACATTAATGAAGTGACGTAATATACGAGCATGTGTCATTGAAATGTTTTGATTTATTTATAACAATAGACGTGTTAAACATTTTTGAAATATTATGAATTATAATATGTTGTTATAGTAACATTGAAACATATAATTATTCTATAATGTCACGGACGCCCTCAATTCTAAATCAAAGGGTGTACCCAGAGAAGGGTTGGCGATATGAACTAATTACTATAATTCAATTAACGAACTAATGCACAACTAAACTACTGTTTAATTGTCTATTCTATTCGCACGACACTGTTTACACCGATTTACGCTACGCTGGCGTTGAAGTGGCGCTGAGTCGCTGGAGGGCGCGACTTCGACAGAAATTTATATTCGGCCTAGAAACAAAATATTCTTTTATACATATCTGTAAAAGGCGAAACGTGCCGTGACTTGATTGAACAATAAATATATATTTGTTTTCGAAATATTATTAATGTTCTTTATTAATGTTATGGCGCAGTTATATCAGTTGGCACGAAATTTCGACTTGCTTTAAAAATACATGCCACAACCAACCAAATACATGCGAACCTTTTCCAAAACAAACATATTGCTATTTATTATATTCATTTTACATAAAGTATTAATTCTTTTTCTTTTGTATCCGTAACAATTTGTTTTAACTTTATTCATTGCATTGTACTTTTAAACCATGATGTTACATCAATAACACTTGTTTTCTCACCTACATTATTGATATTGTGCTCTTTATAAATGTCAGCATCATTTATTCTATGTTTTTGACATATTACTGCAAACTCTGCAAATAGAAGAGTGCATGGAATCATGGGAAGAAACGGTATGCATTGCCATGTGATAACTGCCATTAAGGTGATTGACAGGTCATACTTGTTTTCAATTGTGGAATGACAATTGGAATCTACCAGGTGGGCTTGTGGTTTGCAAAACAAAA